ATTCGGATTCGTGCTCCACCGTGAATTTAATATTCGGATGTGAACGATTGAGTTTTCTGAGCGTTGCTTGTGCTTCTGCGCTGTCATTCAGTATGAAAAATATATCATCCACGTAACGGCCTTGGAAGTGCGTACTCTTTATGCATTGCTGCAGATTTGTATTCTCCAGGTTTCCCATGAAGATATCAGCCAGGACCGGTCCTAGTGGACTACCAACTGTAACTCCTTCAACTTGACGATAATAATCTGTTAAAACAGAACTGTACATCTTCAGTACATAGAAGCAATAATCTTCGGAGACTGCGTGGAATATTCAGTTCATCGGAATATGAACGGTTTCACAAAGAACATTAGTGAATAAGGAACAAACGTCATACGAGACCGTGTTTATGAGAAACAATAAGACCACGGATTTTCTCAACAAATCCAAACGAATCTTTCAATGTAGTTCGAAAACTTTTCTTTGATTGAATGAATGAGTTTGGCTAACCATTGGTGGGATGCTCCAATTATAGACAGTACGGGCCATAGTGGAATACCCTCCTCGTGCACTTTGGGGAGCCCATAAATACGAGGTAGCCGAGAGCCTTGTCCTTATGCAACTGACGTAATTCACGCGCGATGAATTGTTCCACAGTAGCTGTTCGGTCACGTCCAGAGCGGTCAGGAACAAAATCTGCTTTTATCCGAAATCACTTCTTGCATTTTTCGAATATAAGGTTGTTTACTTATAATGACAGCTCCAGATCCGGATGTCACTCACATCCGGTCATGTAACTGGAATGCTAATTATCTCTCTCCAATTTGTCTTGCCCTCCCCCCTGCCGAAATGTTTGATATAAATTGTGATGTATTAGCCTGTAGAAGAATCACCGCACACTGCATTCCGCATGCGTCACTCACTGGTTCAAGCCTCACATGAGGGTCTGTGAGCTTACTTTTAGGCACTATCACAACTCGTCCAAATTGAAAAGCCATCATCAAGCTCTCTCCTACCACAGTCATACCCACCTAGTCTGGAAATCGAGGCCTGTGGCAAATCAGCCCNCCGTAACCTGCATGGAAGTCTTGACTTGGTGGGAGGCATTCGATTGGAGTTAAAAGATAGTCAGTTGTCTCTCCGTTGTCCGTTCCAAGTGAACTGACTACCCATCAATGAATACGACATCTGAAGAAACATGAATTGGCAATTCAGTCTTGGTATCAGCTGGTTGGCACAGTGGTAACACAAACGCCTTCCATGAAATGGGTCTGAATTTAAAGCCCGGTGGATACTGATGAGCTATAATAAGAACGAAACTCGAGTCTAGTGCTTCTGGGTGGTCGACTGCATGAACTGAAGATTGTGCGTAAAGGTGAAGTTCGAAGGATAATCAGCTCCAATCAATCAAATATCCCAAACTACTACTTAGAAGTTACTGGGAGTTAAATGCGATCTAATCTACGGCGGTTATTTAGTTCAGTTCTACTATCTTAATGTTTGAGACGCACCTCGGTATTTCGAGCTTTTGCATGTGACCATGATGACAATATAAAGCTACGCGTTTTATCTTCGCTTCCCAGTGGCAGGGTGGATTTCGTAGTCAGGAGGACCAGCTGTTTGCTCGCGGAAACAAGCAACCTAAGCTTTGTGAGTTGTAGAGGCCAACCACAGAATAAGCGTGAAATTAAGCCGGAAAGCAGAAAGGCTACATACCACCAAAGTTGGAAAATAATGGCGTGATTCGAAACTCGTACCCTTGGGTTCAAGGAGCGACAGTGACTTAAACGGTTTGAACACAGCGATGCAGGTGTGCAAATATCTCGGACTACAAGCGCTGGATGGAAAGCCGAATAGAGTATGTGGTTAAGTTACTCGTTGCATGATAACAGACGCCAATTCGAACCCGAACCTGTATGTACCTTACGAAAAAATGATGGAGTTTAGTTCACGTAAAAAACAGCAATCAATAAATCTAACTGATCAGAAGTAAACCAATGTTAATCGAGCATTGGGTACCAGATTTCTTCTGATCTACCAAAATTTTTATCATCGATAATGGAACTGAATAATACCAACCAAACAGCTGTCTCGTCTATGGCAAATGATGCGAGTGAGACTCGGCATCGTTATCACATAGATGACTGAGTCCCCAGTCGTTCTTTGAAGTAGTATCGAAGACTAATCAGTTTTGAATATAGATAGCATCCACCTTCCTTATCATCACTACAATCGGATCGACCGAAATCTGAACAACTTTCGTATACTTACGTGTGTACATCACGAACGAAGCATACATATCGAGTCGTCATGTAACGACGAAATGGGCAACCAAACAGCGCGAAAGTGATACTCGAAAAGATAACATGTACTACTCGAATGGGCCACAACTGAAGTCCGTCTTTCCGACTGCACCAATCCCGGTCGCAATACTAAACAAAGCACTGCTGATGAGATCCAACCAGGTCGAAACAGCTGTCCAGTGATTCCCAACTTTTCAGCTCACATCTCATTTACACGACGAATTCATCATACAAAGCGCCTTTTGTTACCACTTATTGGGAACAATGACAGGGCGGCTAATTTCTGGTCCGAACGCGAAAAACCACACGCATCTCACCCGGTGAAACAGTCGAAAATGTGTGTAAGTGCATACGTGTAGGTACAAAAGGACAACGGACAGCAGGAAGGTAAACAAACCAAATGAGCATGCAGATTGTCAGTTGTGAAAGCGAATACGGGCAAAGAGCAAATCGGGGAGTGACTGTTGGATGGGGGGGGGTGAGAAAGAAATAAAGAGATGTGATTGTGCAATGAGCTGTAAAAAACACTCAAAACAAATAAACGTGAAAAACAGGACAATAAAACAAGTGATTGAACAATGCAACGAAAGCGTGAGCGGTGAGAAGAATGGCGGTTCAACATTAGTCGGTTCATCAACTTCCTGTACGGACAAAAAGGGGAAAACAAAGTGTTTGTGATGAACAGAGAAATGTGATTAAAAACACTCATACGAGTGCGCCAGTAACCGTGCATCGGTGGCAGCGTCCATAATCTATCTGCTGAGTAGAAAGATGGAAGAAAGGGGTTTCAGTTGCAAGGGAATCTGAACACGCTCGGATAGGACATGATAGACTAGAATGATCCAACAAGACAAACACTGGATGGCGCAATAAAATTATTTGATCGACAGGAGCCGACGGGCGAAGAAGTGAAAGCAGACAAGGAATTAACCGATTCGAGAAGGGAACGAAAGACCGAAGGAAACGTGGGGGGCCACCTCATTCACGATGTGGAACGGTGCGAATAAACAGGGGTGTGAGATTTCTTATTTGTTCTCGAAGAGGGGCGGAAGGGGGTGATAACCGGCAAATAGGGATAGATACACACACCTAACAAGTCTGATAGACAAGGGACAGACGAAGGCCAGGAGTAAGCTGTACAGAGTGAGAACTGATAGAAGACATGCACATGGCAACGAAGAATCAAATAACCGGTGTAAATGTATCCATGGTTCAGGGTGATTTCTGATTGCCCTCGTAAAAAAGCCGGTGGTGGGTGAATTGTGGAAGCAAAAACTGACAGCTAGGTTATCACAGTACCATCCGTGTCAATCCCGCCCCGGAGGACTGGAGCGACGTCGATGCATCACAGGTTTTTGAAACGGTCTACAAATTGGCAGAGAGGGAAGAGAAAAACAGTGGAATGTTGAACACAGAGACTACAGTGCAAGTGCACACGAATGCACAAAACAGTAGATGTAATGCAGTTGTTTAACAAGGTTCAGAATGAATGAAGCTGATAAACATATTATAAATCGATCGATGGATGGGGGTGCATAAGAATGTCAAGAATGTCAATAGTTGCTTAAATAGGGGGAAATCATGTGATTAGAGGAGAGGGCACAAACGAAGGATTCAAAAGTTGAAAACAACGAAACATAAGGAATAACGACAGAAACAGAAAAAATAACTATTGGACCGATCCGTAGGAATCTATCCAAAGTGCCTTGGTAGTTCGGTATGGATGAGTTAAAGCAAAATTATGCATGTACGGTAAATATGCGGAGAGTAAGAGCAAAATTTGTGAACTATATTCATTGGGTTGTTGATCAAAGGAAATTCATTACTAAATGCACAGGCCACCGGGAATAGAGGGATAATAATTTCACTTTATTTTCCTTATTATCAACGAGGGCCCTTTAATTGTGTATTTTTGGTTACCCACACAATCTGGAAACTACCATCATCGTTGATCAAACGCGTTTAAAGGTGGCCACATTCATAATTCCCTCCTGTTTTCGATGTATCGATATCTTTGATGAAAAACCTTGTACCCATCACTTTGAGGATTACCCAGTATGGATACTTCATCTTCTGTGTCCTCTCAAGTCTAGTTAGTAGCATAACTCCGCCCGGGAACCGTAACTTAGTTTTTCTGTAAGTTTCTTAGTCCCTCAAGGNGTTCTGCCACCAGCGGTTCAATTATGGGGGAGGTCTGGTGCTTTAATGCGGATAGAGTGCATTCTATAGCCATTTCTAAAGCCACCGATAACGAAGGGATCAGACCAGAGAGCTATTTGCACAAAACTGTATTCTCCACCGGCACATCTAATCGCTTGCGTCTGCCAATGCAATAACAAAATTGTGGTTCAATGGATAAAATCTATAACATGGTTTTGATCAGTGAAGAACTGATACGTGTAAACGCCATCCTGCTAGGAAGGCATGATGGTCATCAAGTTCGTTGGTCATTGGACAGTTTATGATTTTCCTTCACGACATAAAGATAATCCTTAGGCTCCTGGAAAAGAAGCATGCAGTAAAATGCTATTCGGGATCCGACCTAGCGCAAATGCATGGATTTTTGAAGCAGACAACTGCAGGAGAATTCATTTTGACTAAACAGCAGAAGCAGGTTCTGGGATATATGACAAACAAATTTTAAGGATTTATTTGAAACACACTGGGAACAATGAAAAACTATTATCTTGTGTGACTGCCGCCCCTAAGACTAGCACCTACAGTTCATCGTAGGCCGGCGGAGGAACGCCAGGATCCACAGAAGACAGTTCCGTCGGCGCGGGAGTCTCCACACGAATTGCCACTCCACTGGTTTCTGGCCTTCTCTCGAACAACTGACGACGTGTGGACTGGGCCGCACGAGACGACGAGCGAACGGGAATACAGGCACTTGAGGGCAACAAAACGCATTCTTGGAGCAGGATGGCAGATGTCGGGTTTGACGGAGGATGGGGAGGGAAGTGTGGACCATCCACTTCAACAGGTACATTATCATCGTCGTCATCCGTATCGAAGTGAAACACGGTTGAGACAGGACGACGATCGGAATGGTGGGATCCGCTGGGCCTTGGACGTTGCTCATGTGGATTTGGACGTGTGACAGGAATGGGATTCGGGGAACAGATGAACATACTGATTGGTCGATCGGCAGACACCTGACGCCGAGCACCACTCGGACGTAACATGCGCGACCTGAACCGACAGAGACAAACGTCGGGTCCGGATGGATTTAAAAATAAGAAGGCGATGATGAAAAATCAAGTGGTAAATATGGGTATATGTATGCTTGTCAACACCTGCGGGAAGTCAACGAAAAACAAAGACCGTAAACTGAGCCGGTGAAAAAGCCAAAACACCAAAATACGCAGGTTGGTTAGCAACTAAGGGGATTCACGAGGTGAAATAGAAACACTCACCAAACAGGACTTTGAGTGCTACCTATTTACAAACAGAAATAATATATGTATATGTATATCGACGGGCCTTGAAAAACTGAGCACGACTCGATAAGTGGGCGACATCATGTATTCGAATAGATCAAAGAAACAGGCAATTTACACCACGAATTCGAGGGTAGCACAACACGCCTTTCATTAATTCTACTTCAATCAGTAAACCAAAATAAGCATTTGGATAATATCGATGCTTCTAAATCACTGAGGATAGGCGATATATTTTTAATAAGAGTTGACGCTGAACAAACAGTTACCGTTCGTTGCTGAACAAAACAAAACCAATAGCATCGACCACAAGGCACGGCAGTTGTGGAATTAATGTTCGGAAATTTCAGTGTGAAGTACGACTTTAACATTATTCTAAATTAGTAAACACTTCATTTGAACAATAAAACTGGAGCGCAAAAACAGTTCAAAAAGAATTCCGGTGATTTATTCTTTTTTAGGATGAATACAAGATGAAGGATCATGGTAAAATACAGTTGGTGTGAGCCCAGAACGTGCGGAAAGCAAATGTAGGCTGATTTAAAAAAACACGATCAACCTAACTTCATATGATTCAACTGCCAGGGAGATATGGGCTTATGCTCTCCCTTCAAATTTATCGCGAGGAATAACTACTAAGGAACACTCACTCGCCATTGAAAAGTAAAGTATGGAATACTCTTTTCAATCTGAGTTGAGATCGACACCTGACGAGATTTGTATCACTAGATCACTGTCTTCACGAAGAAGAAGTTGGCATTGATTATTACGCTAGATTTAAATCACGATGAGAGCATCTTGTACACGTCTGTAGCTCAATCCAATCAAAGTCAAATGCAGTGTACATCATATCATCAGGAGTCATCATGAGACTGAAATCATAGTCAGGGTCGAAGAGGAATGAAACCTTTCAAAGTGAACGCCACCTGACTACTGGTGTGTTAATTCTATGGTTACCAGACGCCAAAGGTACATCGGTTGTTAGACATGTGCGGCTGTTTTCATATTCTATTAGAACGGTTTTAAGAGAAAATAAATCAGCAGATTTCATCAAACAACATCGACCGTGTGTCGGTATGGAGCACAATCTCCTCGCTGCTTCCGGGTCAACTACAGCTATCCACTCACAACTGAATATACTCATCAACACCTCGGATTTTGATCGGACAGCCACACCCCGATATTTGTAACTTAATTAGACAAGAGTAGAACAGTGGTTAGTTTCGGTAAGAGCAGAATGCAAAACACACATTAAGGAGGGTATGAGCATCTGGAACGGTGTTCAGCAATGGTCGATTTGCATACCAAACAATATCAAATGACCAGAAAAGACCAGAGAAAATTTCGATCACTACACAAGTCTGCCCTGTGAACCGAACGCTGTTAGTTGAATTCTACAGTATATATTTATATTTTAGCACACGCCCGAGGTCAGACTGCGTGCCAAACAAATAATGATACAATAATCTTTATAAAAAAGAAAACGTTGCATGATTTTCTCGAGAGCATGATACTCCTAGGTTGCCAGGCCAAAGCAGGTGAATCTTTTTACGGGATTCACAACCGGAGCCCTTGGCTAGCCAAAGCCTGACGGACAAGGTAGCAGGGTGGTGTAGTGAAACCGCCGCATTACAATTCATCGAACAATACGCCCTGTGGGCAGGATTAAACGCACAAGGTTGAACACCTCGATACCCAACAAAGACAAGGGAACCGCTGCCAGGAACAGGAAACTGTGGGCGAGTAGGTTTGTACACCTCATGGTTGGTTTGGAATCAAAGTTGTTAGCCAACTCCCATAAGCGAACTGCCAGTGGTTCACCGACCCAATTATGGCCCCGGATTTCGACTTTCCGTCCTCTCACTTTGGTGGAAAAATATCTCCGCCACGAGAAGGCGGAGTAGGGCTTCCTAAGCAGGTTATTCGAGACACTTGGTCATATAGGACCATTGCATGAGATGCAAAGGAAGGATGACCAGCAGCAACCCGAAACACCCACCCCGACCAACGCACACAACCATGAACTGTCTTGCTCTTATTACTATGTACTCTGAAGCTTCCGCATTGAGCGAAAAACATTCTACACCGTACACACCCTCTTCTTTTCCCAGCTTCCTCCATCTCACCTGTACCCCCCCCCCCCAA